ACTTAAGAGATACTTCTAAATGCAAATCAGTAATTGATAATGAAATCACTGAGGTGTGATTCTAGGGCAGGTTGTATATGGTGGTGCAGCATGCAGTGTGAATTTCAAAAGTTTATTTTTGCCAATATGCAATTATCTACATCTTTGATTTTTCTTTTGTAAATGCAAACTTAATTTCCTATTCCTTTTACTTAAGCTTAGGTTCTCTCGTAAATGAATAATTTTTCTTACATGTAGTTAGAAAACAGCCTCCATGCAGTGAAATACAGGTAGAATTTCCCTGTGAGCTTGAAGCTACTTATAAATGTTTCCTTTATAATAAACACCTTCATGGTTGAACTTGTTTTCATGGTTTCTGGAGAAAGGTAGGGGTTGTGACTCCTATCTAAATAACATGCTGTACCTTTTTCTTGGTATACTTAAGAGTTCAAATCTAATTAGCATTATATTTCTCTTTGAAACTAATCGACAATGTGATAGAAATAATTGGAATTTTGCAGAACCTTAATAGATGTTAAAGCAGCATTTCAAGAATGAATCAGGTAGCTGGTAAGTATTGTTAAGAATCACCATGTAATTAATGGAACTGGTGAAATTTTAACCAACTATACTAGTAAGCATAATTTGACTTAGCCTCATGGCAGTCTAGCAACATAATACAATTGTTCTAAGGCTCGCTTTTGTGCTGCAAATAATACGAAATTGGTACTTAACTAACCAGCCACAGACTAGGTTGATGAGAGATTAGTCTTATGATGGGTTATGGATTCCCTTTTCCTGTGTTCCAGAAAGTAACCAGATTGAACCTTTCTCACCCCCAGATGACGATTCACAGGTATAGAAATCCAATACTGGTCAAAAAAATTGTTTGGTATAAGACTCGTACTGTATAAAACTAGTCTCATACCAAACAAATGGACATGGTAGGATAGGGCCGGCAACTGTGATTTTCATAAAGATCTTTTTATTGTAATTAAATAAGGGAGTGTATGCAGATTTGTGTTTAATAATTTAACAAAACTACAATTGTATGTGTTCATGTTTTGACATTGAAGAATATTGCATGCCTTTCTTTTAAAAAATCACTTAAATTTTGGGTGTAGGTCAGTAACTTAATGGAAAACTGAAGATTACAGATGCGTGTATATGTGTGATTAGTGTGTTTTGCTTTTGGTTCTGAATAAAGTGTAAAGCAACTTCTGGAGTATACAAGGATTTGTATCTATACAAATCTACAATGTTGAATAATAGGAACCCCAAATTAACTGTTAACAAATGAGATACTTTTTTCCTCCTTATGTAAAGACTTGGGTTACACCTCTAGTCAGGGACCAGCTTCAATTTACCATAGCTTCTGCGGTCTTAAATGGCTTCTCTAGCTCACTAATCAGGCCAGTCTGCTTCACAATCAACAGAAATGAGAAAAAGAATTAGGCATGTTTTTTCCCTTTGAGGACACTTTCTATAAATTACCTGTTTCCTGCTTATAGCCTATTGCCCAGGATTTAGTCACATTACCAGAGGTAGCTAAAGGGAAGGGAAGTCTGGATGTTTTTTGGATAATTTGTGTGTCCAACTTAGTTTTTGGGCTCCTGTCCTGATGAACATTGAGACAACTAGCAAGCCCTGTTAGGAAAAAAAACAATCCTAAATAAAATGCTTTCTGGGTTTGGACTGCATAGTCTTCCCTAATTTGAACATAGACCCATTAAAAATCAGATTTAAAGATAGTGGAGATTATAGTCCTCAAGATGGACACCAATTCACATAATATGGCAGTTGCTTTAAAGAACTCTGAGGACAAAAAAAAAATCTCAAATTTTAAGTATCCTAAAGATGCATGTGCAAAGCGATCATAATTATAGAAAAGGCATATTTGCACACAGAACACTAATACTGGGTTATATCTTTTAACAGGCATGTCATGTTACCCAGAGAACTTTCCAAACAAGTACCCAAAACCCATCTGATGTCAGAAGAGGAGTGGAGGAGACTTGGTGTCCAACAGAGTCTAGGCTGGGTTCATTACATGATTCATGAGCCAGGTAAGTTTTGATATTTGAGAAAGTATTGACTGAGTTAAAATAGTAGCAGTTATGGTTGTTGAAAAAAAAATATTTAGTAATATTGACACTCAGTGATATCCTAAAGTGCCTCTGATAAGTTTGACTATTTTTGAATGACTGGTTTCTTTTTCTCCCTAGGGAGGGTTCCAATTTTATAGTAAATAAAATACTATGTGGGTAAAAATAATGCATTTTTCTCCCCTGCAAAAAATAACGCGAGTCAAAAAATAGGCTCTTCTGTTTTATTTTAAAATTTGTGTCATTGTTAATAACATGTTATTTTACCATAAATATATTTAGAATTGTGGTATCCACTCTTTAAGAACTAAACGTATTTTAAGACAACTTGAGTGTCCTTAAGTTTTATGTATAGAGATTTATGCATTTTGAAGTGATTTGTCTTTTCCTTTAGCCTTCTATTAAAGGATAATTGGTACCAACCAGATTTAAGATTAAATAAGATACCATAACCAGTGAACTCAAATGTGTTGTTGCCTGTTACCCATTATGAGTGCTTATGTTATTAAGTGGTATTTACCAGTTTTCCAAATACTTAACAGTAAACTAAACTAAAACTCTGTGGGGTTAAATTCTACTAATGGGTTATTAATAAATGTAACTTCAAGGATTTATAATGCTTTGAACAAAATCTGAAGGCATGCTGCAGAAGCTGCATTAGGTGGAATTAAAGCTATCTTGCTTTCCGTGATTGTTAAAAGCAGCATCAGCATGTAAAACTCTTAAGGCTCACAACTTTCTTGGGATTGGGACATGTAATCATATTAGAGTTCAAGAAGTATTTCTAGATAATACAAAAGCAACTCCCCCACCCCCTTTTACTGGGATGGACTCCTGGGACCTGTAGATGTAAGCTGGTGGTTTTTGAATGGTGTTAGGTATCTGCCCAGAAAAATAACTTTTCTCTTTATTTTTTACGAGAATCAAGATTCTAAAGGTAGAAACCATTCTCCCCAAAGTAGCTTCTCTACTTTCTATCCCTTTTCTCCAGGGTGGGTAAAACTAAAACATTGATGCTCATTATCAGGTTTTCTTCAGTTTACTGTTCACAGTGACTTTGAAGCAAAATTCATTTCAGATACCTTAATAAGTAACATTACAGTAATTGACCATTTATTTTACTTTGTTTTGGTTCAGTTGAATTCTTTGAATTTTGTTTGAAAATTAACCATGTTATTAAAATGATGTAAAACATTTTCTTTCCACAGAACCACATATTCTTCTCTTTAGACGACCTCTTCCTAAAGATCAACAAAAATGAAGTCTATCTGGGGATCGTGGATTAAATCTTTTTCAAATTTAATGTATATGTGTATATAAGGTAGTATTCAGTGAATACTTGAAAATGTACAAATCATTCATCCATACCTGTGCATGAGCTGTATTCTTCACAGCAACAGAGCTCAGTTAAATGCAACTGCAAGTAGGTTACTGTAAGGTGTTTAAGATAAAATTTCTTCTAGTTTTTCTCTTAATATAAGTGCCTGTTTGACTTTACCTGTTACTTTTGTTAAATAAAGTTTGTATGTTGCATTTATCACTGTGTGAAGTTATTTAAGTTTAAGGTTAATTCATGAGTAGAGATTGTTGGAGGATTTGTTTTACAATTTTAGTGCTAAGGAAATAAATTTACTTTAAATTGGTTTAAAATAGCTTGGTATGATGATAATTTACTTATGAAAAAACCAAGAGCCAAGGATAAGTTTACTAGAGCTAAAGTAGATTTTATAGCTCTATTATTAGTCTAGTTCATAGAATTCTCTAGAATCTCCACTTTAACAGAAAGAAGCCCAACTTAATATTCTCTAGGCTGCTTCCACTTACCAAAGAACTGCCACATCTAGTGGCCTTGGGAGAAACGACTCAACCCTGTGGCTCCCTTTGCCATTGCCAGGTGGGGGTGGTTTCCTATAAAATATCACAGCATTTTTAGAAGTTTAAAAAGCACCGTAGAAAAAAAATAAACCTGCCATATGTATTTTTACGTGTCTGTAAATTGCCTTTTTAGCTGCCAAGGAAGTATTTTAAAGTTAATGCAAGGTAAAGAAGACCACAATTTGGTGGTCCTCGGTATGTTTCTTTAGAAAGGGGTTCCTTTACACTTAATGAGCACAATAAATACTGAAGAAGCCTAGAACTTATTCCTGCCACCAGGGATCCATCAGCTAGAGGTTTTCCCAACCTCCACCATCCAATACTACTACCAGACCCGAAGTCTCTCCAGGCTCGAGATTTGGGCGTGTCTGGGCATGTTTAATTAACCTGCGCGACCCAATAGAAGGGAACCTTAAGGAGCTGCCAGCATTCTTCCTGCTTGAAATACCTGGTAGTCTCTAAACTCTGGGGGCAAGGTACAGGTTTCCTAGAATTAACCTCCAGCCTATGGTTTTGAACCCGATCAACCCTGTTCCTCCTGGTCTCCGCCCCACCGTCACCACTCCACCCCCAGCCCCCCAACCCCGGTCCAGTGTCCATTTCTCACCCAACCTCCTTCCTTTTGGATGGCCCAACCCCACGAAAACCAGACTATTACATCTCTACCTTTCCAAGCACCTTTTAAAATACTGTAGTCAATAGCTAGTTGTTGGAAATAACGGGGCACTTCCTGAATTATTTTCTCTGGTTACTTCCAAAGTGCTTTAAGTTCCTGGAAGTTGGGACACGAAATCTTGGTTTTCTAGGTCTGCGGGACTACGGATATGCACTTCCCCTAAATTCCCAGCCCCCCACCTCCCCGCCCGGTACATGTGCCTCCCACCCCACGTGGACTCCTTATCAGGTCTGCACGTTAAGCCAGATACACCGGCGTCAGGGTTTGATTCGCCACGGCCACCGCCACGCGCACCTCCCACCGGAAGCAGGGCAGGCCCGGGCGCGTTTCTGTGACGCACTTCCTGGCGTCCGCCCGGAAGGTGAAAAAGCGAAGTGGTGGAGTGCTCCGACGGGGCGGCTGCTGGCCTTCCGGGCCGGGCCGCCTCCGAACTGCTGGCCATGGCGTCGGAGGGGCCGCGGGAGCCCGCGGGCGAGGTGAGGATGGCAGCTTCGGGCGCCCCGAGAGGTGGGGGCGCGGAACGCAGGGACGGGCGGCCGGTTCCCCAGCCCCGGCGCCCTCTCCGCCGCGGCTGGCTGGCGTGAGGAAGGACGCCATCGAGGGGACACCGGCCAGCTCTCCTTGCCGGGGCCGCGGAAGGGCTGCGCCGCCGCCCCGGCCCCCGGCATTCACGGCCAGGGGTGGCTTGTTCCAGCAGCTCTCGATCGAGCGTTTTTTTGAAGCGGGGGTCTCCACTCCAGGTGCGCAGCGTACCCACTAGGGGGAGCTCGGCAGTCGCGGAGATTGGCTTCCGAGCAAGTCCAACACAGTGCTCAAGAGTTGTCAGTGAAAGTAAATCTCTTAATGTGTATCTGAGACCCAAACTCCAAAGTTTTACTCTCGTATTCCAGTGGTAATAGGTTTTCTAGCAGAACTCCTATTGCTTTTCAACAGAGTAACTCTTAGTGGTTCACTGAGTGAAAAGCAAATGGTTTCTGTAACTTTTTTGAGAAACTCAATGGAAATAAACTTTCGCGGTGTGTTTTGGGTGCTACAGGGAAGCATTCCCCGGGTATGTTTGATTACTGACAGTGCTACGGTGCTGGCTTATCCCTAGCTACAGCTGAAAGAGGTATAATACTCCTATTTTGAGTTAAAGCTAAGGAAATAGTTGCAGTCCTACTATATAATCTGGGTTGAATTTTGCTTCCACTTTTATTAATTAGTGTGCTTATTTTTCACTTTTTCTGTTTGGTAGACTGATTTTTCTAGTTAAAAACATTGGGGCCCTGGCTAGTGTGGCTCAGTTGGTTGCACATACCTAGGTTGCAGGTTCCGGGGGGGGCGCATGATGTTTCTCTCCCTTCCCCTCTCTAAAATCAATAAGCGGGTGGCCAATCATTGTTCTCTCTCATCGATGTTTCTTTTTTATTTTTATTTTTCCTTTTTTGATTTTAGAGAGGAAGTAAGAGTGAGAGAGAGAGAGAGAGAGAGAGAGAGAGAGAAACATTGATGAAAGAGAACATCAATTCGCTGCCTCCTGCACGCCCCCCACTAGGGATTGGGCCCACAACCTGGACATGTGTCCTGACTGGGAATTGAACCCTAGACCTCTTGGTGCATGGGTCTACACTCAGACATGAGCCACACCAGCCAGACTCATGGATGTTTCTCTCTCTTCCTCTCCCTTCTGCTCTCTCTGGGATCAGTAAAGAAAAAAAAAACTTTTTTAATCAAGTATATCCTTGGGCGAAGGTTAAAAAAATAATTATTTTATTTTATTTATTTTTTTATCCTCACCTGAGGACATTTTTCAATATTTTGTTCAGATAGAGTGGGAGGGAGAGAGAGAGAAACATCGACGTGAAAGGGACACATCGAGTGGTTGCCACCCACATGACCCAACCAGGGCCGGGATAAACTGCAACTGAGGTACGTGCCCTTAGCAGGAACCGAACCTGGGTCTCTCTGGACCGTAGTCTGACGCTCTAACCGCTGAGCTACACCGGCCAGGGCCAAAGATAATTTTTTTGCAAAAGCATTCGGGGAGAAATTATTGGCAAATGTTTGTCTTTACCAGGCAGAGATATTTGAATAACATTGCTGGGATTAGCATTTCCGGGGGCTGCTAGAACAGGAGCCACTTGGGGTGTTTTGTTTGTTTACATTTGGTGGATCTCATAATGTATGCAGCTAAACCTCCTTTTTTTTCCCTTCAGGGTATCAAGTTGTCACCAGATGTCAAACCATTTGTCCCCAAATTTGCTGGGCTCAGTGTGGCATGGTTAGAGTCTTCAGAAGCACACGTGTTCCCTAGCTGTGCAGCCACGTACTACCCTTGTGTTCAGGAACTACCAGTCCCTGCGTATGTATTTTTGTAAACAACTTGTCTTGCCTGAGGACTTTGTTTCTTGTCTTTAATGGTGGTTAACTTTGAAATGTGCTGCAGCTAACCCACTCAAGTTCTCAGTGACTAGAGAAGATGCTCCTTTGCCAAGAAGGGTCTGAGCCGGTAGCACAACGTAAGTGTGTCCTGCAGCAGAAACTGAAGCTCTGGTTCTCCTTTTCTCTCTGTACTCCCTCAGGTAGTTTGTGTAAAGAATGTGTGTAGATTGCCTAGCATTTATTAGTAGAAAATGCAATTGCAGGGTTCATTTGTGCATACAGTTTAAAACTAGGTCATGCATCTGATGGCAGGAGGGGCGGGCAGGTAATGGGGCAGAGAAAACCCCAAGTAAATAAACATGCTCTTCAGTTTTAGGGTTTGACATTTAAAAGTCTTGCTGGGGAAGGAATGAGGACTAGCAACCATGGCTGCCTCTTTGTGCCAATTCTTTAGAAATTGCCTGGTTTTGCTTTCAATCATTTTGCTTTCTGTGTGTCTTATGGAGATGGTTTCTACAAATTTTGGTTATAAATTCTTTTAAATTTGAGTTGAAAGAGGGCTTATGTTCTTTGTTTTTTTCTTCTCAGGATACATTCTTAAAGTATTCACAGCTGAACTTAGAAAAATAAGCGTTAAAGCTTTCACATAATTGTGTAGATTACTCGGATGTTTTCTTTACGGCATGAATCACCTTTTTGCTATGTAAGAATCCTTGTCTTTATGTTGCTTTGATATGCGTCAGACTTATTCCTTTTTTTCTTTTTTCTTTTCCACACCTGCATGATGTGAGTGAAAATAGTTTATATTTTATATAAATTCTAGAATTATATCTACAAGAATTAAAATTGGAATGAATAAGAAAATCAAGTTGTGTGGTATATTTAGGAACTGTTGAACGTTGTCTTTTTAGACAAAAGTTGAAGACCTGCCTATATGTGCTGAAGGTCTTTGGTAGGGATACAGGTTTTCCACTGTAACTGCATCGTTTGTGAAAGGGATGTTGGCGTGGATCTCATCTGAGTTGTTCCCTACCTTGGGTGGTTCACAGTAATAAAATGTGAAATACACAGTAGTAATTAGGACTCTAGGCCGTCTACTGGGTGAGATTTTAGTAACCCAAAATAAAGGTGGAAAACATATAGCTAAAGCAACATCCTGGCATAATTTTAAAATTATGTTTCTGAACTCCTTATCCTTTCTAGCTTTGATTTTGTTTTATAATTGTTTATAACCAAGGAAGAGATTGACAACATTCCTGACTCTCAGGAAAACAGTGAAAGGAGGCTGGGATTCAAAGGTGCGGGGTCAGGCCCTGGCCTGTTTGGCTCAGGGATTGGAATGTTGGCCCATGGACCAAAGAGTCATGGGTTCAATTCTGGTCAAGGGCACATACCTCAGTTGCAGATCATCCCTGGCCTTGGTCAGGGTCATGTGGGAGGCAAGGAAGTCAATGTGCCTCATCCATGTTTCTTTCCCTCCCTCCCTACCTCCCACTCTATCTGAAGATAAATAGCATAATATGAGGATTAGAAAAAAAATGTTTACAAAGGGGTGGGGTTGGAAAAAACAAGAGCCTTTTAAGTGGGGATGACATGTGAAGACTTTCTGTCATTGAGAAGGGATTACCTGGTCATTTCTCATACAGGTAAGAAGTGCGTCGCTCTGGTCTGATTTCGGCTGCGTGGAGACCTCGTGCTCCATATTTCCCCTTTCCTGTCAGTTCACTATCGCAGCCAATTCTGTATGTCCCGTTGCAGGAGGAGAGGGACCTTTTACAGAGTGTATCTGCCTCCCGTGTCTCTAACAGTGCGCTCAGAGGGACTTCGTTTATTCAGTTGGGGTTAATTATTGAATGGGGTTACTGTATGGAAAATACTAGGTGCTAAGGGGAAAAAACTGTCTTATGAGCTGTACTCTTTTTGTCGATTTGTTTATAGATTTGAATGGAGATGAAAGAAAATGTACCTGTCTTCTCCAAATTTATATTACAGATAACATGTCTAACAGTAGACGTATTCTGGTGTATAGAATTGCCCATTGGAGAGTACTGATTATTTACCAGCGTGATGAACACATAGAAGCTATGCAGACAAAATAAGTTCTATGTTGTTGCATTTTGTTTGGGTATTATTGTGTATGTTTTTGTTTTTTCCTTTTCATGCTTGTCACATCCATGAGGTGGAGAGGGAGGTATAGTATTATTTTCACACATGAGAAACAGGCTAGAATTGCTTGTCCAGTGTTATTCAGGTAGGTGACACCAGAATCAGAATTAGCATTAGCATTCAGTTCTTTTTTTTTTTTTTACTACTTTTTAAAAAATATGTTTTTGTTGATTTTTTTAGAGAGAGGAAGGAAGAGAAAGATAGAAACTTTGATGTGAGAGAAACATGGATCGGCTGCAGGAGGATTGCCTCCTGCACGCCCCCTGCTGGGGATTGACCCAGAAACCCAGGAATGTGCCCTGATCGGCAATTGAACCCAGACCTCTCAGTCCATGGGCGGTGCTCAATCCACTGAGCCACAGTGGCTGGACAGCATTCAGTTTTTTGAACCTGAGTTCATTTGTATTCCCCAAAGCTGCTATTGCTGTTGGCAAGAGTGTGCTGAGTATTTTCAGCATCTTGCAATATACTGTGAAATGTCGCAGTGCCCAGATGGATACTTTTAAGTTAAAACCTCTCAGCTTTAAGAACTAGAAGGGATGACATTGTGGCTCAGATCAGTTTGGTGGTGGAGGAGTGGCTGAATCCCTGACAGGTACTGGTCTGACTGAAGGGACCAGGTCAGAGATGTGTGAGGGAGCCCTGGCTGGTTTGGCTCAGCGGTTAGAATGTCGACCTGCGGTCCAGAGAGACCCGGATTTGGTTCCCACTAAGGGCACGTACCTCGGTTGCAGTTTGTCCCCAGCCCTGGTTGGGTCATGCGGGTGGCAGCCACTCGATATGTCCCTTTCACATTGATGTGTGTCCCCCCCCCCCCCCCCCCCCCCCGCTCTATCTGAACAAAAAATGGAAAAAATGTCCTCAGGTGAGGATTAAAAAAAAAAGACGTGTGAGGGAGATAGAAGAGGAGTAAGTTCCTGTTGTTCAGGGGGCTCCGTTAGGCAATTAAAAGCCTACATATTGCCCTGGCAGGTGTGGCTCAGTTGATAGAGCATCATCCTGTGTACCAAAAGGTTGCTGGTTCGATTCCTGGTCAGGGCACATGCCCAGGTTGCGGGTTCGATCTCTAGTTGAGGTGCATGCAGTAGGCAGCCGATTGGTGTTTCTCACATAGAAATTTCTCTTTTTCGCCCTCTTTAAAAAAACTCAATAAAAACAAATTTAAAAAGTATAAATAAATAAATAAAAACCTACATAGAACAGCTGAAAGTTTAGGTTTGCTGGGTACAAAATTGGGAGCTTTGGGGTTCACTCCTGGATTCTGGTTTGAATTTATGGGTGAGGGGCTTGAAGGCTTTGACTGGGTCCCAGGCACTGGAAACAAGAAAATACATGGAGACCTGCTATAAGAAGAAAGTTCTGTGGTTGTCTGTATGGGTGTTGGTGGGAAAGGTGTATAGCAGTTTCCAGTTGAATCATAGCATCGTGGGATCATTCATGAGAACACAAGATGGAAGCGGGCTGGTTGGGACTAGATGTTAAGTTTTGGATTTATATGTGCCAGGTGGGAGCAGTGAGCTCTTAGGTGGAAATGGCGTATGCATTGGCACTAGAGGGCTGGAGGTGCTGAAGGTGCTGGGTTGCAAGTGTGTGTAAAGTCCTGAGCACAATGAGAAGTGTGGACTCTGAGCCTGACAGGTTAAATGGACAGTGCAGAGGAGCCTTTGGGAGGTTGGTAGGAGCAAGAAGAGGGCAGGTTTGCAAGTTCAGCCAGAGGAGCTTTTCTAGTGATGTGGTAGAAGGGCCAGACCAAGCCCATGTCGTGCAGCATGGCAAGAAGGCGTCCTGGAGACGGGATTGTTGGGAGGACGGGGCAGGGAGAAGGGCAGCAGTGGGATCAGCAGGTGTTGCACGGACACAGGGCAGGGTGAGCTGCTGATAGCAAGGGGAGCGCGGATGGGGTGGCGGGCGTAAAGGAGGTCGTGTTACTGTGGTAAGGTCATCTGGGCAGCAGTTTGTGTCACCTGGAGTTTTACAGACCGAGCCATTTGAAGTCCCAACAGATGCTGCGAGTTGTCTCTGTGAAGTTTTGTATTTTGTGTTATTCTCTGCATATAATCGTATTTATCTTGGATGGAAAGAAAAAATATCAACTTTCCAGAGGAAGAGGGACCAGTGATGACACGTCCAAAGTGGAAAACTAGGTTTTCCTAGAGCCAGGACCCAAACCAAGGTCTGTTAATTCACAGGTGAACATTTTCTGGATGACAACAGCCTTCAAAAGCACCACCTGAGTAGCTCGCTTGGTTAGAGCATCGTCCTGGTACAGCACGGCTACGAGTTTGATCCCTGGTCAGGGCACATGCAAGAATCGGCCACTGAATGAATGAACACGTGGAACAACAGATCAATGTTTCTCTCAAAAATCAATCAATAAATTAAAAAAAGAAAAACCAACACTGAATCTATACCCCTCCTCCTCCTTTTCTTCTTTACCTGAGTTTCTTTGGCTGGTCTGTCCATTTATCCAGTTTTAGGGCTTGGCATAGTCTTTCTTTTTTTCTATCAGCCTGTCTGCCCATCTTGTGAAGAACAGATTAATCTCACCTTCATCTGACCCATCCATTCGATTTTCTGAGCACCAAACAAAATGAAATGGTGAATCATAGCTAGGGCTATGATTTGGGGAGTGGGGTGTAGGTTTGAGTCTTCCTCTTCTCTTCAAGTGGGGCACACTAGCCAAGTGGTCTGGGAGGCAGGAAAAGGTCAGTTTTGTTTGGTTGTTAAATAGGAATACTTCGTGATTACAATAAATTGCCGATAAGTGAAAGATTTTACAAGGTCTAAACTTATGAAATGTGAATTAATAGGCAGTGATACCGGGCAGACTGTGGTTAAGTACCTCAGGAGAACCGAGCAGTGAGCATCCTCACGGCTATCTCCAAGGTCCAGCCTGTGGACAAGGACTCCCTTTCTGCCTCCGTGCAGGCTTTTACTTGCAGCAGAGTAGAAATAGGGCTCATGAAACTGGTACCTGGCCCATATCTCCTGGTGGTTGCACAGTTGGTGGATCATATAGAATGTCCCATTATTAGCTTTGGATATCCCTGCCTTTCCATGGACCAGCATGCTTTGGGATTTCATTGATTTATTACAAGAAAATCTTCAACTGGGAATTCACAGAAACATCTAGTGCTTATTTGTGGAAATTAAAAGGTTGTGATTTGTGGGGGGGTTTTAATCTTTTTTTTTTAAATCCTCATTTGAGGACATTTTTTCATTTTTTGTTCAGATAGAGCAGGAGGGAGAGAGAGGAAGAGAGAGAGAAACATCAGTGTGAAAGGGACACATCGAGTGGCTGCCACCCGCATGATCCAACCAGGGCCGGGGACAAACTGCAACCGAGGTACATGCCCCTACCAGGAACCGAACCCGGGTCTCTCTGGACCACAGGCCGACGCTCTAACTGCCGAGCCAAACCAGCCAGGGCTGATTTGTGTTTTAACTCTGGCATTTTGTCAGTGTATCAGCTTTCATTGCAAAGTGGTTGACTCCCCTGGTCATACGCTAAGAAATCAGTGTTACATTGTATTTTGGGTCAGCCTAGCAGCTCAAGCAAATTGGAGCAGCGGCAGTGTTCCCAGATGGTGCCCATCTGGTCAGCAGGGTGTGTAGTTCCCAGGCACGGCCACAGCGCCCCTCTCACAGCTCGCCCTGCTGTCGGCAGAGACAGGTGGGTTTGGAGCAGGGAAAGGGCTGTAGCAGGATTTCTCCGGGCACCCCAAAGCCCGGGAGGCAGGCCCTGCAGGTTGTCGGGATGGAGGTTAGATATGGGCGGCGGGGGCCTCTGCAGAGAGAATGGTCTGGATGGCCCTTTTGGCCAGGATTGCTGAGGGGCTTTCCCAAATACTTGACATCTCGGGAGTGGAAAGCTACTGGGGTTGCCTGTGGCTCTCCTAGTGCTCGTTTTAGTAGGTCCTGTTGAGGGTGTTCCAGCTCTGCAGTGGAAGGTAAAAGCAGGGCAGCATCTGTCTTCGCAGGTTAAGAAAGAAAGCCTCAGAGGTTTTATTTGGCTTTTAATTAGAGTTATTTCATTATAGAATGAATGACCTCAAAAGTAATAAAAGTTAGAAAATGTTTGTTACAGAATAGAAGCTTCTTGATTTGAGGTATGAAATCTGTAACTAAAACTTACTCTTTTTATTTAGGCAGAAACTCTATCCTGAAAATATGGCCTTTGGAGCTTCCACATTTCCACATCAGTATTTGTCTTCGGAGATGGCTCTTCATCCAGGCTCCTATTCTCCTTACACCCTGGAGTCTGCACAGAGTGTCTGCCCAGTGCCTGGCTCCCAGTATGATCGCAGCCAGCCTGGTCGTTACCGGGGTTTCCAGGCAGCAAGGCCACGCTATGACCACGTGTGCCCTCTCCCACAGGATGCCAGAGCTCTGTATAAGGTCAGGACGTGCTGGGTTTGTTGGTCACGTTAGCATTTAAAATGCAAAGAACTGGTTAATTCTTGCATTAACTTAAGCATTGCTTATCTTTTACGTGGAACTTAACATTTTATTTGGTCTAACCTTTTTGAAAATAGTTGAGTTGTGAATACTTACATATTTGCAATGTTAACCCTGTTTTATAGCAGTACAGTCGACTCTTGAACAACACAAGATTGAGTGCACCCCTGGGTCCACTTATAGGGGTGGACAAAAGTAGGTTTATGGTTGTAATACAAATTAATAATGCAGTAATTAACAATAATGTAGGAGGGAACGTCCACATACTCTCAACTGTAAATCTACTTTTGCACACCCCTGTGTGTGGATTTCTAAAAAATAAATATATTAGAAATTTTTCAGAGATTTGTGACAATTTGAGAAAACACGTAGACAAACCTTATTTTCTTAGTAACATTTTATTCGTTTAGCTCATTTTGTTGTAAAAATACATATAATACATAAGACATACAAAATATGTGTTAGTTGACTATTCATATTATTGGTAAGGCTTCCAGTCAACAGTAGACTATCAGTTAAGTTTTGGAGGGTCAGAAGTTATACACAGATAATCTGCTGAGGAGGTGGTCATTCAGGGGTCAACTGTAGTTTTCCTAATGTGTGTTACTTTTTAATCTTTCCTGCAGAAAAAAACGTATGATGAGCAAAAGTTTGACAGTAAGAAGGCCGATGGAGCTGTACCACCTGATATGAAGTCAGTGAAATGCTCGCAGTATATGTCCTTTCGTGCTGACACTAATTTGAAATCAGGTAAAAATAACGAACTCTATGTCTTGTGTTAGGTCAGCATGCTCCCCCCTCCCCATCCCCCAAAACATCGCTGTTCTTTGAACTATTCCTGTGGACTTACTGTGAAAAGCTGAGGCCATCAGACAGCCTGTGGGGTACTGAAGGCCTTTCCTCCTGGGATCGGGACCTGTTGTGCAGCTGTGATGTGCCCTTAACATGTTATTACCTTGTTTTACCCAAGAACTTGTCTAAGGTCACATAGCAAGTAGGTCACGGCCACACGCATCAAAACACGTCCTTAAATAAAAGCATGTCACAACCACATCCCTTGTACTGTGTTTGGCCATGTTCATTTCTGACGCAGCTTCTCTGGTATTCTGCTGGAGCACTTCTTAGTAGGTGAGAAAGTTTGTCTGTGACTTCATTCTGTCTTAATACCAAACCGGGACGCGTATAGTTAACTCAGAGGATACTGATTTTATTCATGCCAGAAGTCATGTCTGCTCTGGTCTTGAAAACTGCTAAACTACTATTCTGATCTGTGGCTGAAAGTTAGTGATTCCACATGGTGGGTTTTTTTTGTTGTTAATTACAGATTCAGTTTGATCACAGCCATCCCCTATTTATATAATAATTTAAAACCTTTCTAGTAGTGTACTTACTGGGAAAGGTCTATCATTTATTTACAGGTATAATTTATGTTGCTTGGTATATAAATTTTCTCCTTGCATTGATTTTACTTATGACCTGTCTGGTACATGGATAGGTAAACGGGAAATTGAGCAGTTAGCTAGAATAAGTCTGGCCTTGTTATTAAACACAGGGAATTTACGGCATTGTCACACCTACATTGTCATTTGTTTGCGTTTCAAGGCGAAAAATAGGAAAGAGGTTATAAGTTCAATTCTGCTTCTCCCAACTTGTTCTAGCAAACTAAAACAAGGACCAGTTATTACTTAAAGAAAATGTGTTAGTGTCTCTTTAAATTTGCAAAACTCTAAAATGTGTATTAAAAATAATCAAAATGCCCAGGGGTATAATCAGGTCAAGGTGTCTATTTCATCAACATTAGAATTACTCCTAAAATTTGCAATGGTTTGTTTTTTCTGCTTAGTAGCCCAACCAGAGCAGTTGCTACTTCTGGTCATACTTGTTTACACTTTTGCTCAGAAGGTGAACAGCACTTGAAAAAGTTCATTAAGCTGTTTGGACAGTAACATGTTGTTGTGTCAATAGCAATCGATTTTCTGCTCTGCAGCTTAACTGTGAGTTTAATCATCAAACATCTAAATTTTTCCCCTACTTTTAATTCTTTAAATACAGATGGTTATCATAAACGGACAGACAGGAAATCTAGAATCATTGACAAATGTGGACCTGCCTCCAAACCTGAGCTTGCATTGACCAGATTGGATTGTCCTAAACTGCAGGGTGCAGAGAAGAATGAGATACTAGAGACACCAAAGCAGCCCAAGTGGGGGCCCTTGCGCTCTGCCTCTGTGGAGGACACTTCTCTTGGAAGGGGGGGGAAGCCCTCTCCAGGCCTGGCGGAGGTGAGTACAGGCTCCTCTTCTTTGTTTCCTCCTCTTCTGTTGTGTAAACTGTTCACAGAGAGGCTGTGACACCTCGTGCTGCTGCTATTTTCAAAGAATTGCCTCATATACTTCCTTTTATCTGGTAGGTAACAGGTGCAGAAGACTCATGCATGAGTCCAGCTGGTTAGACAGCCCTGCTGTGGACATCTCGTTTCCTGCATTGTTGCCAACAGCACTTGTTCATACAGACATTCTTCACTTACTCAAACAGTAGTATTTGAAACTACATAGTATGCCTTCTGATTTTCCAGGCTTTTTATCTGTGCCTCATTAATGATATAGCACATTCCGTGAAGGTGACTGCAGTAAAGAATATTCAGTTTGCTGCACTGTAATTTTAAATTACACTTTATTCACTGTTGGATCTCGGAGTTTTAGTCCAGCAAGTGGAGCCATTTTCCTCTCAAACAGGTTGATTTCAGACTTTCAGGGAAAAAAAGTTCTTGGGTTCTTAGTCCTTAAAATCACTTCTGACATTTCCAGTAAAGGAAGGGGGGGTGGTCACTTCCCAGTGTGAGGGAGAAGGAAGCAGCTATGAAGGAAACCACCTCCCCAGTTGCCTGCTTCCTGAATAGAGAGAGGACTTCCACTCCTGCCCTTGTCTTTGGTGCTTGGACACTAGAGCCCCAAGGCTGGGTGGTCATGGTTACAGTGTGCGGAAGATGTGCCATTCCCACACACTGCCCTGCCACGTGGTGAGGCTGGTCGACATGGAAGGCTCAGTCTCCTTGGGCAGGGGTGTAACCCCTCTGGGCCCCAGTGGACTGTGTGGAATGGCTGAGCGGAGGGGGTCCAGGTTTTGTTACGGGCTGGCAATGGATGATTCCAGCCCTGAGCACTGTACGAAAGTAGAACAGGGCGGGAGCATGCCGACACTTGTCATGGCCATGTGGTAGAGGTGAGCGCCTCGTGTGTGGGCATGAAGTTAGGGACATCATGCTGTGTGAAGAGACTACATCCTTGTTACCCTGTCACTGCCCACACCCGTCAACTGTGTGTGCAGTTTTGTTTTTTCATTTTCTCTTTAAAAGAAACATTTTCCTGATTATACTAGCAGTGTCTTCGAACACCAAAAAGATATGAAGAAAGAAACTTAAATTGTCTGAAGTTGTATAGCCAAGAGAAAACCATGGTTAGCACTTTATCTTTTGCTAATGGTACATTGTGGACATTGTACCCATCGGGGGTTATACATATGCACTGGCTTGTTTTGGAAGTTTTTGAAACATTTTTGGCATTTCTCCATGTCTTTAAATACTCTTTGAAAACATAGCTGTTGCACTGGATCTTTGATATTGATATATATAATTGACCTAACCATTTTTGAATAGGTGAGCCACTTCTAGTGTTTCACTGGCCTTGGTGAGTATAAAAGTGTTGTAATAATTTTATTTTCTATTACTGGATTCAGGTACAGTGAAGTGGCAAAATGGGTAAATTTGTGAAGTATATCAGCTTCAGAATTTATTGTCAAACTATTCAAATTTGAATTTACCTGTTTCTGTTTACTTGCAGTACTGTCCGTCACTTTGAGATGTCTCTTAATGTGCTCACCTGCCGCTGTAATGTCCCATGTGTGCGGCAGCTTCTGTCCTTATAAAAGTGGCACCTATTAACAAGACTTGTGTCTGTTATCTGTGTGGGTGTTTTCGAGGCCTTTGGTGTGGAGGCTTGGTAACCGATGCTTTAGCATTCCTGTGGGGCTCTGGGTTTAAGAATGGTCTCGGCACATCTGTGCGGACGCGGAAGTTGTCTGCAATAGGTTGATCTTTTAAAGCTTGCATGCATTGTGTGATGTGTTCCCTTATTGGGATCTATGTAAAAATGATACATAGGTGTTTATCTCCTAGGCAAAGAAGTAGGTGGTTTTCCTCTAGGGAGAGAGATTTGGGAGAAGGAAGTAACTTAACTTTCCACATTATGTACTTAGGTATTTGGAATTTTTAATTAGTGTATATTTCGAAGATTTTTAAGAATGGCAAGGGAAACTATATTTACAAATTAAATGATTACTTTCCATTTGAAATAGTAAGAAAATAACTGGTTTGCTTTTCAGGGTGAAATATTGGTGAAAAATAATAATCCAACTGACGCTGTGACTGCTGACCACGCTGCTGCCGGGTCCTCTCCGTGTACCAGAGGTGAGGGCGCCGCTGCACACTGTTTCTAACCAGTTGTCTGCTTTTAAGGTCATTTTCAGTCCAGTGCAACTTAAATGTTTTTATCTTAACGCCTTTCTTAAGGCAGCTAGGGTTGTTGATAAACTGACCTTGCTTGTAGACGTTTGAAGTAGACGAAATCTCACGTGTATGTGTAAGTGTATTATAGCAAAGAATTCTAAGTGAAATGTTTGTCCAGATCAGTGAGAAACTTTATCAACTCGGAGAGAACAGTTTCCTTAAGTGTTACCTACACCATAGGTTCTCAAAGTTTTGGTCTCAGGACCCCTTAATGCCCTTTAAACAGCCCCACAAAGCTGCTGTTTATTTAGACAACTCTCAGTGTTTGCAATATTTAAACAGGAAAACTTTTAAAATACTTATTAATTCACTTGAAAGTAACAATAAACCCATTACATGTTAATATAGCATTTTTATGAAAAATAACTATTTTCAAAATTAAGGCAGTAACTGTGCAGCTCTTCCCTGGCTTGCTGGTAGATCTGCTGTGGCATTTGCTTTTTCTTTCTTCTTTTTTTTTTTTTAATTATTGAATATTTTTTTAATCTTTACCCGAGGATATTTTTCTATTTATCTTCAGATAGAATGGGAGGGAGAGAGAGGGAGAGTATGGGAGAGAGAGAAACTTCGGCATGAGAGGGACACATCGACTTACTGCCTCCTGCACGACCCTGACCAGGGTCGGAGATGAACTGCAGCCGAAGCACGTGCTCTTGACCGGAATCGAACCCGCGACTCATTGGTCTGCAGGCCAACACTCTGCCACTGAGCCAAACTGGCTAGGGCACATTTGGCTTTTCACTGTCCTACCTTTGCCGTCTGTGGAAAAGCGCAGGGGAAGGAGGGGAGGAGAGGGAAGGGGGGATAACACATCTGTTCTTGCTGGCAGGAAAACAGTTGTGATTTCAAGGGTCCTGGGAGCCTCAGACCACACTCTGAGAACTGCTGGTCTGTCCTGGCCTGGCCATGAAGTCATATATTCAGAGAGAGTTCACTAGAGTCTGCTTTTGAACTTTCCTTAAGTAGCTTGTCCTAACAGAAGACATTTTTACAAAATTACCAGATTTATCCATAAGTATGTTTTCTTCTGCATCCTTGTGTTTGGTACAAAGATCTTTACTTCAGAGGCTGCTCCAAGGGTGTACAGCTCTGTGGTGACAAGAACATCTGTCTCATCGTCTGGGACAGCCACGGGCTGCTGACACGACCTGCCCATGTCCTGATGGCTGTCCTTTTGTTTTGTCTGTACATAGAGTTTCATGGGCACCTAAGGAGTAGTGTGGCTGTGCTTATGCCTGTGTTCTAAAAGAAATAAATTTCCAGTTATTGTGATAGCTGAAGTCTAGTGACCTTTGACTTCTGCTGTTAAAGATACACATCAAGGTTAGTAGGGCGAACATTTGATCTTCAGCTTGTTAATTCTGTGTGTTTGCCATGTGGGCGTAATTGAGTATTGCTGTTTTTTAACTGAAGAACCCCAAGTAAAAACCATTTCCTAAGAAGATCGGTTAACCTGACAAGTTAATTCAGCATGCATGTTCCAAGGGAAACAGAAGTTCAGTGACCATTATAATTTCCAAGAGAATGTTTTGAACAACCTAAATTTAATTACGCTCTGCGTAATATCTCACATGATGCATGTTTGGAATTTCTAAAGAGTTTGTGTTTACTGTTGAGACTATTCCCCAATTGTGGTTATCTCTGAGCAGAGTTATCCTGGACACCAATGGGTTATGTTGTCCGTCAGACGTTACCTACAGAACCATCACCAGCCCCTAGAAATGTCACTTCCGTGATAAACCTAAAGACGATTGTTTCATCAGCAGATCCTAAAAATGGTAGCATATCATCTTCTCAAGTTCTGTCTTCGGATCCTTTCTACAGCAGAGAGAAACTCATTGTCCACTCAGCTAAAAAGGTAGGTATGCGTCCTATTTGGATAATTGGGTCTTCTGTACTCTGGATGGTCTTTTATTATTTTCTCAATCCTGACAAAGTGTTTTATTCTGGACTGTGGTCCGTCATCTGAGTTGGTTGTTGTTTGGACCTTGAGGAGGAAGAGGACCTCAGTCAAGGAGTCCAAGTGGTAGTTAACATGTGAGTGAGGATTTGTGTTTCTGACCAGTGGTCCTAACAGATCTGTGAACCATTCTGAGTCCTTTAACGGAGAGATGCTGGCAGGAATGTGTGCCGGGTGCTCCCTTCTTTCTCCCAGTCTTCTATTGAACTTACATCACTTTCACCTGCTAGAGTACTAAGAGCACAGTAATTCATTGCCTTTTTTTTTTTTGCATTCGTTTGGTTTTTGTTGCTGATTCTTGGTTGATGGCAGATTACTTACTGTAAGATAGCATTTCAGAATCCATTGTTTCCTTTCAAGTCAGATCATTTTAAGCATTCATTTTTATTGATCCCTAGATTTGTATTTTGAAGAGCCTTTTTCATTGGCTTAGATTTTATTCTTAAATTCCAGCATACCTGATGTATTTCTGTAGGTTGAAATCAGTTGTGTTTTTCTTTAGTGCAATGGTTTCTAGTCTTTTGGGGTGAGGCTACTTTTGGTATCTAGAGTGTCACAGACGTCCTGCACCAGCAGGCTTGGTTGATGACAGGAGTGTGTGCAGGTGACGGGGGAGCAAGACCTGTGTGCTGTTCTACCCAGCTCTGTGCACGTACATGAAGCACAGGTGCCGGAGAGACCTCTGAGTACACAGACCTGGCTCTGAGACCCCGCAGTCCTGGGTGCAGCTGCACAGACCTCTCTGGCTGCAGCCATCGTTACTGTCCAAAGTGGTTTTCCTAATAGGTTGTCAACACTAAGAATTAACAGATTTTTTAAATTTTCTGAGAGTTGTTTTAAAATGGTGGTTAAATGAAGGCCCCCTATAACCATGCATCCTAGATTGCTTTTCGTTGTACACAGCAGGGGTGGTAGAGGTTAGTTTTTTTGGTCGTTTTTTTTTTAATCCTTACCCAAGGACATTTTTATACTTATCTTCAGATAGAGCGAGAGGGAGAGAGGGGAGAAGAGAGAGAGAGAAACGTCGATGTCAGACACATCAACTGGTTGCCACCCACATGGCCCCATTGGGGCCGGGGACAAACTGCAACCGAGGTACGTGCCCTTAGTGGGAACCGAACCCAGGACTTTCTGGTCCACGGGCTAATGCTCTAACCACTGAGCAAAACTGGCCAGGGCATGGTAGGGGTTTAACGTCTTTCTCTTTAAGACACTCCGGACTGTACGTTCTTATTACTGAAATAACAAATGTAATGCTACAAGGAGCTGATTATGGAAAAGGTCATCTTCCCACACCCCTTTGGTGTTCCCCCCACAGTCCCCCAGGGAAGCCTGCATTAGCAGCCTGGTGTGTACCCCACCTCAGGTTCTTGAAAACAAACAAATAGGTTTGTTTGGTTTGTGGACCTTTTTTTCTCAGCAAAAATGCGGTCATTCTATACACATTATAAGTTACCTTTTCCACTTAAATTATGGACAGTCCTCCAGGTCAGTATATAAACCCTCTTTTTAATGGCCACTGAGGCTTTTAGCTGCCAAGAGTAAGTCCCCAGGCCCTCCCCATCCTGATGCGGAGGAGAGCGCTGTGCAGACGGCGGGCACATGGTGTCGGGGCAAGCAGTGCGCCGCGGGGTGGGGGGCCAGATAAGATGGGGTGCTGGAGCTGAAATGAGGGGCAGTCCTCACCTCATCCAGGTGCGAATGCAGTGCGAAGGCCCTGAGGCCACAGCGCGTGGGACCTGATGGAGGAAAGGCCAGGCTGAGGGAGGGTGGGAGTCTCAGAGTCCGGGTGTCTGGCATGGGCCCCGATGTTCTGATCTGCAGGCTGTACCGGCGACTCTGGTGTGCAGGCAGTCGTAGGAGCCACTGGCCCTGGTGACAGAAATGGCACACCTGGATTTATGATGAGACCTCGAGTCAGAATTAGCAGAATTATTAACATGGCCTCCTCGGGCTGAAGACTGGCTTATGTCTTAATCTACCAATTTCAAAATAACGAGCACAACAATTTTCACAGATTTTTTTTTCCTTCAGAGTTGTCCTACTGAATGCTGGCTCTTTGGAAAATAGAGACTGAGCAGGTGAACTGCATAGAATGCCATGTGGTCGTACAGCTTGATAACGGAGCTGCGCTCTAGAACAGAGTTAAACATTCTGTCGAATGTCCTAAAGCCATGATTGTTGTTGTTGTTCTTCTAGTCCGAAGCCTCCCAAGGCGGTGATCCTGAGCAAAATGAAGCCTCGAGAAAGTCTAAGAAAAGGAAAGAAAAGTTCAAAACAAAATGTGAAGTCCTGACAGTGCAAGAGCCGCCAAGGATTGAAGTACATGCTTACTCCCTGATTTTGTGTCACATGGGTCTGTCTGACTAGAAGTGTGGTTCGTCCTGCTTTCCTGAGGGAAGAGCTTCAGGGTTTTCACTAACCGTCCTCCCAGTGCTGAAGAAAAGCGCCACTGTTCGTTTTCTCAGTCATGTTGGTGCCCAGCCCGGTTTCAGGCAGGCACTCAGTAGACACTGCGTGAGTGAGGTGTGGTCCAGAGACAGCCCCCAGGCCTGGAAACGGAGCAGCCTTGCACAGGGCGCGGGCTCACCCCTCAGCACCTCTGCCTGCTCTTTCCGGGCTCTGGCTTTTGCAGGCGCTCCTTTTCCGCCCAGAAATCTTACTATGATGTGTTTCCTAGAGAAATTTAGCGCACCAGAGAGCCACCCTGGGCCCTGGTCACGAGAATGTCGTGGACTTGCAGAAGTACTCTAAACTGTCCGGTGGTGCTCCAAGGATGTCCCTGTCCTCCAAGGACATTCTTGGGCTCCTGCCGCGTTTCTCGGGTCTGCAGTGCTAGGCTCAGCAGTGTGGCTACTGGCGCCTGTAGAAGGGTCAGCGGTGTCGCCCAGGTACCCAGCCCAGGGTCAGGCCAGGGCTTCCCACGCCTGGGGTTCCCATGGCTCTTGGAACACTCCTCTGAGAACAGTGGGGTTGTGTTTGAAGACCATGGCAGAGCATTACGGTCTGGCCAAATAATTCATATTTCTGTCCCTATTTTTTACATACTTCTCTAAGGCACCTAAAATGTTGACAGAAGCACATAGGACATTTTTAAATGATTCACATGTTGTTCAGAGGCCTGCCACACCGTCTCTGTTTTTTAGCCTGGGATCCACACGCATGACAGAACACTTACCTGCCCTGAGTCTGGACGACGGTTTCCCTAACCCAGAGTGCAGTTAAGGGTGCGGGCTAGAGCCCTCTCATGCCATGTCGTCAGGGGCAGTTCTGTGGGCTCCTTGGGGCCCCCACTCTTGCTCTGGGGAGCAGGGGGTTAGAACTGGGTCTTTAAATTGGTTCTAAGAGTAAAATGAAGCTGAAGCCCTTATGTTACAGTTTTGGGGGCTCTTAATCACCTTTGAGCACTTCTGTGGGAGCTTATCATAGAATGTAGGAGCAAGGAGAAGGTTTCACGTGGGCATGTTTGAGTCTCATGATTCACGAAGCACTAAAGGGTGTGTGGTTTACTTAGGACACCGAGGAGTTTCCCAATCTGGCAGTTGCATCTGAAAGAAGAGACAGAGTAGAGTCACCGAAATTTCAATCTAAGCATCAGCCACAGGTAAATTTTAGATCAAAACCACAATTGCCTTAGGCTTAACTTCTCTTGCTCAACTGAACTCTTAGACAAGACTGCTCTCCAGACATCTCTGCGTCTGGTGATTTTGTTTCGATTTTTCCTGCACTGGAGGAGGGCGCTCAGTGTGTGTTGCGGCAGAATCGCTTTTCCGCGAAAACACTGTCACCTCTATAAGATGGTTGGCAGTTACCACTGCTGTAGCAGAAAGGGCGGGAACAATGCTGCCTAGGAACCTTTGATTTAAAGAAAAAACGTTGATCCAGTTTATTCAGGAAACAAGAATTCCTTTGTGAGGCAGCAACGTCTGACAGGAGAATGACAGTCACCCCAGTGTCACTCTGAGGAGTCAGGACAGGCAGAAGAGATGGTTCTCTCTCTACCCCAGCCCGGCTGTGGATTCAGGAATGAACTTGGGTTCATAATCTAAATTAGGAAATGTGGGCATGTTCATTTTCATTTTTGCCTGTCAGAGTGGGATGGTTGTTTTCACATTTGTGGAAAGTGAAATCCTATAGGCTGTGTGAATGAACTCTGCATGAGCATGTCATACCTCGGACTCTCCGCAGCCACTGTGCTGCACCGGGCCCCTTGGCCGGAGCCCTTGGCCAGCGAGTGGGGGAGCAGAGTGAGGTGCTGCGGTGCGTGGGCTGCCACCTGCCTGCGCAGCCTTTGCCTCGGGACCCAGCTCACAGCCGTGTCCCACATGACATTGGCGTAGGTACATCAGACTCGTCTGCTGGCTGTGATTGGACTTGGGCACATTTGTTTCCTGACTGTTGATTGGCCCACTTGGGCAATTGGAGAATGAGTGGGGCTAATGAGGCATAAATACAGTGATACCTCGGTTCTCGAACGCCTCGGTTTTCGACCAAATCGGTATTCGACCAGGAGATTCGAGAAACTTTTGTCTCGGAATCCGAACAAATACTTGGAACTCGAACTTCCGAGATGAGCCGAGTTGAGCCGAATGGCGTTCATTCGGCCCAGCGCGCCTTGCTTGTGTCATCAGTGTGAGTGCAGAGAGAGAGTCACGCTTTGTGGAGTCACGCTTTCCTATTGGGTTTCATTGCTTCGGTTCTCGAACAATTCGGTTCTCGACCGTCCTCCTGGAACGAATTATGTTCGAGAACCGAGGTATCACTGTACTGACCAATTAGCCTCACACACAACACACTTTCACAGCCAAAGACTACACAGGTGTGGGTTTCTGGTCTGCAGATGCGCACTGGTACTCGCGGGGCGATGGAGACGTAGTTGTGGGTTAGAAACCCAGTGCTGTGAGGAGAGAGAACCATTGCTACTACTGCAGGGGTGTGGGGTGGCCTGGGTTTCCTTTTCCATTAAGATTCTTATAGTCTTTAAATCGCTTTCATTTTATCTTTAAAATACTGGTTTTTAGAGAGAGAGAGAGAGAAACATGGATGAGAGAGAACATCGATGTGAGAAACATTGATTGGCTGCCTCCTGCACGCCCCCCTCTGGGGATTGAGCCCACACCTGGGCACGTGTCCTGACTGGGAATCGAACCAGTGATCTTTCAGTGCGTGGACCACACTCAACCGAGCTGCACTGACTAGGGCGTTATTTATATGATTTTTTTTTTGTCATAAGATGAAAAACACAGTTAAAAATTTATTATAAATAAACTTCTGAATTTTGAACTCTTTAGAATCATTTTAAAGGTGGAAAGAAGAGCCAAATTCCAGTGCAGCTGGACCTGGGGGGCATGCTGACCGCGCTGGAAAGGAAGCAGCGCTCCCAGAATGCAAAGCAGCTCTCCAAGCCCGCGGTGTTTTCAGGTAAGAGCGTCCTCTCCACTGACTGAACTTCTCTTCCAGGTAGGCTGTTGGTGGGTGTTTTCTTTTGTAATCAGAAGTCATTTGCAGTTAAAACGGTGCAGTGCTGGAATAAGGAGAGACGGAGACCAGTGGACTAGAAATGGTAGTCCAGAAATAAACCCACACATGTATAGCCCGTGAATTTTTTGGCAAGGGTGCTGAGTTCATTAAAAGAACAAAGAATAGTTGCTTAAAATTTGGTTCTGGGACAACTGGATTTTCATATCTAAAGAATAAGGTGGGACCTTCACATAAACAAATAGGAACTCAAAATTGATCAGTGACTTAATTATAACAGCTACAGACATAAAAGTCTTAGAAGAAAACAGGTACATTATCATGACCTTGAATTAGTGAGTTTTTAGGTAGGACAACAAAGGACAGGTAATAAAAGCAAAAGGAGATGAATTGGATTCATTAAAATTAACATTTGTGTACCAAAGGACATTATCGAGAAAGTGAAAAGACAACTTACAGAATGGTAGAAAATGTTAGAAACTCATATCTGATAAGGGTCTCATCTCCAGTGTATAAGAACTAGAAGTCAGTAACAAACCCCAAAAATGGGCAAAAACACCTGAAAAGACATTTCCCCACGAGAAGATACAGAAATGGCCAGTAGCACATGAAGAGATGTTTGGCATTAGAGAAATACAAGTCAAAACCTCAATGCAGCCCTGGCTGATTTTGCTCAGTGGTTAGGGTGTTGGCCCACAGACCAGAGAGTCCCGGCTTCGGTTCCCGCTAAGGACACGCACCTTGGTTGCAATTTTTCCCCGGCCCCGGTTGGGGTCATAGTTCTTTATACCTTCTCTGGTACCTATATGCAGAACCACGAAAATAACTAATGTTGGCGAGGATGTGGAGAAATTTGAACCCTTGTCCACTGATGGTTGGAATGTAAAATGATGCAGCTACTTTGGAAAACAGCCTGGTGGTTCTTCAGAGTGATAAATAGAGAGTTGCCATGTGACCGAGCAGTTCTACTCCTCTGTATTTATCCGAAGTAATGAAAACCAGATTCAGTCCTGCTGGTGTAGCTCAGTGGATTGAGCATCATTCCATGAACTGAGAGGTCCCGGTTCTATTTCCAGTTCAGGGCACAGGCCCGGGTTGTGGGCTTGACTCCCAGTGAGGAGCGTGCAAGCCAATTAATGTTTCTCTCTCATCAATGTTTCTCTCTCTCCCTTCTTTTCTAAAAAATCAGTTAAAACGTATTTTAAAAAAAGATTCAGATACTTGTACACCAGTATTCACAGTATTATTTGTAATAGCCAAAGGGTGGGAACACCCCAGATGTGTATCAACAGATAAATGGAAAAATAAAATGTGGTCTGTACACATAGTGGAACTGTATTCAGCCTTGAAAGGGAAGGACATCCTGATACAGACCACAGCGTGGATGAACTTGAGGACATTGTGCTGAGTGAAGTAAGCTAGTCACAGAAGGAAAACTACTGTATAATCCACTGCATGAAATTTCTAGAGTAGGCAAGTTCACAGCAAGTAGAGTAGAGGTTACCAGGGGTTGAGAGGTGGGGGCGTGGGGAGCTTAAGGGGGCCAGATGTTCAGTTTGGGGCATGACAAAGTTAAGGAAGCCAAGTGGTGATGGCTGCACAGGAATGTGGACGTTGATTGCAGCTGCTGGGTCGTGCACCTAGACACCGTTAAATAAATTCTATGTCATGTAATGTTTAACCACAATTTAAAAGTTACTTACATACGACTTTAAGAAATAGATAAGGTGACATTGTATACCTGAGAATCGCATGATACGTAAGTACTCTGTACAGGTTCCAAAGTTGAATCTGATGTAAATGAACCTGCCTATCCATGGACACGGCTCATCACGGTGTTGCTCGGTTGTGATGGCAACATTCTCTTCTGAAATGTCTTCTCATGGAGCCGAGATAGTTAAAGTTCAACATGTCAGAGAAAGAAATGTGCCACCATAGTCTTAAGTATGTTTTCTCCTTCTGAGGCAGTTTGTTAGTTTATTTTAAAAAGAAAAATGTAGGCACACAAGAAAATAGATAAGCTTTTTTCCCTAAAGTATTTTAAAGTAACTCAGACATCGTGTATTTTAGGTGTAAATACCCCAGTCAGCATCTCTGATAGTGATTTGATTTTTAACTGAGCCACCCTGCCACCCTCCCGTCTAAGAATCACAGCAGTGGTCATTTCTTGTTAGCATCTTGTGTCCAGTCTGTATCTGTCTCTTTGTTGTCTCGATAGTTTGGTAATTTTATTCGTATCAGGATCCACAGTTTGATGCATTGCATGTCTGAGAAATCCTTTTTTTTAATGTTTTGATTTTTTAGAGAGGAAGGGAAAGAGAGAGATAGAAATATTAATGTGAGAAACACCAGTTGGCTGCCTCCTGCACGCCCCCCACTGGGGATCAGGCCCACAACCTGGGCATGTGCCCTGACCGGGAATCGAACCAGGACCTCTCAGTCCATGGGATGACGCTCAGTCCACTGAGCCACACCGGCTGCGCTGAGTAATTCTTATATATAGTAGTTCACATTATCCATGGGGGATACATTTTCAAGATCCCCTCACCCCCAGTGGATACCTGAGACATAGTACCTTTGTACACTCTGTTTTTTCCTATATCATGCATACTGATGATAAAGTTTAAACTACTCTTGTGCTTTGGGGCCATTAAGTAAAGTAAGAGCTGCTGGAATACAACACTGTAATACTGCCGTGGTTGGTCTAGCTGGGACCACTGCCAAGTGATCAGCAGGCGGAGATGTACAGTCGGTACACTGGCCCAAGGGTGATTCGTGTCCCACGCTGCAGCCGGGTGGTGTGGCGTTGCCTGCGCTGCTAGAACGGCATGCGATTGAAAACTTGTGACTTCTTTATCTCTGGAATTTTTCATTTAACATTTTGGACCCCAGTTGACCACAGGTCACTGAAATCGCAGAAAGCAAGTTGCTTCTAATAGGGACCTGCAGTGTACCAAAGCGGGGACTCCGGCCCCAGGCCTCCCTCAGCTCTGCCCTCTGGCCGAGGCTGCAGTGCTGTCACTGGGTGGCCGTGTCTCCAGACCATCCTGGTGCTTTGGTGGAACTTGAGCCCCCTTCCTGTTCCTACGGTGAAGTCTCCTATTTCTCAGTCAAGTCTGTCACTGTGTGATTGTGTTTTGTGACTAAGGATGTTTCTGGTAGTTTGTACTTAGAGTGGCCCTTCTGAGTAAGTCTCCACCACTCTCAGCCAACACCACCTTTTCGGAAGTTGGCTGTTGGTTTCCACACGCCTATCTTCTAACTCTCTTGTAAGGCCCTCGCAGGAGTCTAGTAGCATTTCTACTGGATCCTCTTGGTTTTTCCCACATAAAGGCATCTTCCCATGCCCCTCGTGGTGAGTACAGTCCCTCCAGTCACGTGACTGGCACGGCTCTGTTCCCACTCCGTTCCTGTCTGCTCTCCCACTCATCCCTGTGCCCTGCAAGGCAGCTCCTCCTGGACTTAGCTTGGGCTTGTGTGTCTTTTCTGACGTGCTCAGTCAGGTGCGGCCACTGGGGGAGACAGGAGAAAGCACAGTGACCTACTCTTAGGAGGTTCAGCATTCAGGGCCATACGGGAGGCACCAGGTGACAGGAGGCAGGCTGGAGGGCAGGGAGGGTTTAGGCCAGAGCCTTTATTGGGGTTTCTGCTGGAAAGGGGCCCTCCTTCCCCAGGCCCACATTCGCACTCTGGAGAGGCACATGGCAGCGGGGTGCAGGGGAAGCAGACGGGAGGGACCAGGGCCGGAGGGCCTGCTGCCGGTGTTGCAGGAGCCCAGCTGAACTCAGGTGGAGTTGGGCTTGTGTTTCAAGAAAAGCTGATGACAAGAACCAAGCCAGTTACACGTACATTTCGAACATGGTGGGAGCAGTTTTCACAGAACCAGCAGCTGTTCTGTAGCCAAGGCTAGAAATGGTGCAGGGCGGGTGCCTCCCTGAGGCAGGCATCTCACTGTGTTGCAGTCGGGGCGGTTCCTGTGCTCTCCAAAGAGGCCATGTCGGGGAAGAAGGGCCACCGCTTCAGCCAGGTGAAGACCCCGCACAACCCGTTGGACTCCAGCGCCCCCCTGATCAAGAAGGGGAAGCAGAGGGAGGTCCCCAAGGCCAAGAAGCCAACCTCCTTGAAGAAGGTGAGTGGTGCTGCCTTTGAACTGGGCACTAGAGGACCTGCGGTGGGACTGCCTTCCGCCCTGCGGTGTGAGGTGGTCACAGCCCGGAGGCCATGTCCAGGATTCTGAGGAAGGAAAGTGATGCTGTGGGGCATGCAGGGTGGGCTGGCCTTAGCTGCTAGAGAGGGAGGCCATTTGTTTCTTTAATCCTTACTCAGGGACATGCTTAGAGGAAGGGAGAGAGACAAGACAGACAGACATTGATGTGAGAGAGAGAACGACCCGTTGCCTTCCATATGCGCCCTGCCCGGGGATCGAACCCGAAACCTTTCGGCGAACAGGATGATGTTCAATCAACTGAGCCACTCTGGCTGGGCAGAGGGAAGCAGCTTTTTTTTTTATCCTTAGCCGAGGACATTTCTCCGTTTTTTGTTCAGATAGAGTGGAAGGGAGAGAGAGAGAGAGAGAGAGAAACAGAGAGAGAAACATCGACGTGAAAGGGACACATCAAGTGGCTGCCACCCGCACGACCAACCAGGAGCGGGGACAAACTGCAGCCGAGTACGCGCCCCTAGTGGGAACCGAACCCAGGTCTCAGGACCGTGAGCCAGCGCTCTAACCACTGAGCAAAGCCGGCCAGGGCTGGAAGCAGCTTTTAAAAGTACTTCTCAGTGATGTGTACAGAAAATAAATGGGGGAAGCTGTGTCCTTGTCACCTGTACCCTCGTTTCGCCTGAGGCAGTCTGTCTGCTGTTGGGGTTTGGCGAACATTGGACACTCCTGGCAGATGCTCGGGGCTGTCGCACAGCTCCTTCCCTCAACTCTCGCGGCCCTTGGTGTGCGGTCTGTCTCAGTGGGGACGAGCGTCTTGCCCAGGGCCAGGTGACTGCTGAGCTGCATTGTTGCTCCACAGCCCAGGTTGCAGCGTCCTGCTGGGAGCACCTGGGTGAGGATACGCTGCTCTGGGCCCACCCCCGGGCCGGGGTCGTGCTGCTGCTGTGGAGGCATGACGGGCACGGGGCCAGAAAGCCGACCTGGGGCGGTTTATTTTGCAGAAGAGCTTATTTGTAAGTACAAGTATTTGGGTGCTTTAATCATTTACTCCACTTTAAAGATTATTTTGAAAGAACGGGAGGAGAGAAAGCAGCAGCGTCTCCAGGAAAACGCTGCGAGCCCAGCATCTGCCGGGGACGAAGCGCTGGATGTGGAGAGCGGTGGTGACGGCCTGGCTCCGGAGCGAGGTGAGCCCTGGGGTCCCCGTTCTCGGTTGTGTCTTAAAGAATTCTTCAGCTGGGCAACCGTGTGCAGCAGGCCTCCCAGAATTCCACCAGCCTTTGGCCCTTTGTGGTAGAAGCAAGTCAGCATTGAACCCCGAGAATGCAGACGTTTTCCCAACTTTGACAGTAAGAGTCTGTGCCCGTGGACAGTGGGCTTCTGTTGCCTCTGTTTTTGGAGGTCTGTGAGGGGATGAGGCCCCTGAGTGTGATCTGTGTGGCATTGGATGGTCCTTGCAGCTTGGAGTAGCTTTGAGAATTGACTCCACTAACTGCAAAACTGCTTTCCTGTGAGTGCCTGAGACTCTTGTCATAACAAGGATGTGTTTAGTAAGCTTTTTATTGAATGATATGCTCAGAAAAGTGTGCACACACCATAGCATATACCTCGGGGACTTTGCAAGTGAACACAGCTCTGGCTTCGGGAGCAGAGCAGCTGCACAGCTCCCCATGTCCCGGCCCCTGGCCTGGCCCCGACCACAGTCCCGCTGGTGGGCGTTTGGGCATCCTTCCCAGGACTCTTGCAGTGGGAGCCCCTCTGCCAGCAGTCTGTGCCCCTCTGCCAGCAGTCTGTCATTCCCGGGCGATGGCATGCTTGGGTCCATTGCCCTCCGGCCTCCGAGGTGCCTGCCAGACAGGCCTCCAGGTGTGTTAGGACCTCCACCTGTGGCGGGGGGGAAGCCCTTCATGGGACACTGTTTGTGGGTGCCATCTTGGCTGGCGTGCACCCCCAGATTCCTTCCCTGGTGAGCTGGTACTTCATGTGCCCTCTGGAGATCTCTGGGAGGAACATCTGGGGACCGTAAAAATTACTGAGTCCTGTCTGGTGTGTTTAAACACACCCCTCGAGGCTGTCATAGTCTAGATATTTGAGTTCAGCTCTAATTTAGGGCTTATTGGATAAAGGAATAGTCTCAAGCATGTAAGTACAAAAAATTCAAAACTGAAAAGTTATTTTCAAAACTTCCTAATAGAAGCTTCAGGTTAAATTTAAAAATTAAAATATAAATTTGGTCCCTGAACCACACTTAAAATGTTGAAATGGTAAGTTTTATAAATATTTTGCTGCAATAATTAAATTGGGGTCAGGAAGGCACCTCCAGGCAGGACAGAAAGTTCGGGTTCTTGCGGTTTTCCCAAGCCATTCCCATCACTGCCGTGGACTGCGGTGCTCAGAGCGTGTTCGCTTGCGGCCGCGGCTGCGGCTGCATCTGCTGCCCTGGAGACACTGCCCCGGGAGGCGCCTCGGGGCCTCGCCTGCCCCAGCCACAGTGCTGTGCTGTGACCTTTCTCTGCAGCTCCATGGGGCGCACAAGCACCCGTGAGCTCCCCTCCTGCACTCGAGAGCCCGTCAGAAGAGTCGCTGGGAGCTGAGGTCCAGAAGGAGGTGGCAACCTGTTCCCTGACCCCGGAAGGTGCCAGCGGCCCCAAGATCCACAGCCGGAGATTCAGGGAGTGAGTGAGCCCGCAGGGGTGGGTGAGCTGTGCTCATGCTGGCTTTGGGCACCGGCTCTCCCTGCCGCGCTCAGGCTGGGGAGCGAGATCTGGGCCCCAGGCCTTCATCCTGGTGAAAGTAGCCAGGCACATAGTCATGCCACATGCCAGGGCTGCTGACTGCTTCTTTGAGTTCTCATCCTACTGACGTGACGGCACAGTGCCCACAAGTGCAGGGGTTTGGTTGGAGGGAACAGCTCTGAGGGACAGTGCATGCCATTCGAGTTCCCTGTCGTGTTTTGGTTTCTGTGTGATTTCTTAGGGAGCTCTGCCCCACCCCACTTTCCTCCAGGGCAGATTCTCCAGGTGCTTCAGGAGAAGTGCACAGGGTGGCCACGATGAGGGGGTGCTTGGCAAGCTGGGTGGGGGCAGGTGCAGAGGTCTGTCCCTTGCAGGTGGCAGTGGGGACGGTGATTTGATACTTACCTGCCATCAAATCCAGTCAGTCAGGAACCCCACCTCTGGTTAGCACTGCTCCTCAGGGCGACTCCCTGGGGCCTCCTGCGTGAGGAGGCTGCGCTTCGGTGACACCACTAGGCGGCTGCTGGCCTCTGTGTTTGCAGCTACTGCAGCCAGGTGCTCAGCAAAGAGGTCGACGCCTGTGTGACAGACCTGCTGAAGGAGCTGGTCCGCTTCCAGGACCGCATGTACCAGAAGGATCCCGTCAAGGCCAAGACCAAACGCCGGCTCGTGCTGGGGCTGAGGGAGGTGCTCAAGCACCTGAAGCTCCGGAAGCTGAAGTGCGTCATCATCTCTCCCAACTGTGAGAAGATCCAGTCCAAGGGTAAGGATGCCTCGGCCTGCTGCCCTAGCAGTGGCCACGCATGGGCAGTGTGCTCGCACCTTGTTTCTGGAGCTCATTTGCCCACCACGTGCCTTACTCTGGGCAGCCAGGCCCTGTCGTCTTTGTGGCAGGGCTACAGCTGGTCCTGACAGGCCTCTGGCAGCAGGGAAGGGCACGTCTCCCTGGTGCAGCGCGCTGGGTGGGGCCCTCCTTGGTGCAGCGTGCTGGGTGGGGCACGTCTCCGTGCTGCAGCGCGCTGGGTGGCCTTGGTTTGCTCTGGAGCTGGGGAGGTTGGTTTAGTAGAAGTGTCAACTTGGCCACAGTGCCTGGTCCCTAAGCCCACTTTGGCCCAGTAATGTGCCAGGAGGACGCCCAGGGCGTGAGGATGTGGAACCATCTTCACAGCTGTGGTTCATTGCAGTGGAAGGAGGCAGCACGAGACAAGGGAAAGCGTCCTCTCCCGGGGCAGTCACACAGCACAGATGCTGTGACATGAAGCGCTGTCTCAGGGAATCTCGGCAGAAACTGGGCACCAGGGTGTATGCTGGGGTCTGGTCACACGGGCACCCTCTGCCCAGCATACCGTGACCCGCACTGTTCCCACAGGCAGCGTAGGCACAGCAGCCTCTCTGATAGACAGGGATCCTCTCAGTCCAGCTTCTGGTGCCAGCCAAGGTTCAGCCACGCCAGCTGGTGGCAGCGGTCAGCTGGTTGGGTTAGTTCTTTCTGCATACGGCCGGCCGAGGTAGGTGTGTGGTCAGCCCCAGGGCCCGGTGGACAGAGTCAGAGATGCCCTGGAAGGAGGTGACTCAGTGATGTTTAGGGGGCGCTGTCAGTCGCTGGCGATGAGTTGTAATTTATCTCAAGGACTTGACTGTCGTCCCACCTCTGCCTGCCTCCCCTCCTCCAACCCGTGGAAGTGTATGTCCTCAGAGGTTGATGCTTCGTTCCCCTTATGTTCTCCTGCTAGGTCTGGAGTGGAGGTGGGCGGGCTCGAGGATGTGGGGCTTAAAAGTGAACACCTGTCCCACCAGCTGCACAAGGAGTTTGCAGTTCAGGGCGGGATGTGTCCCAGGGAAGGTCACCTCTGGAAGGGTATTCAGTAATTAGGGATGAGTTCCAGGGGATGAGCCCGGGGAACCTTTCTTCAGAGGGTGTCGTATGTTCCTTACGGAGTCGGTCTGTGCAGCACTGTGACAAGTGCAGTGACCCTTCTCGGTGCTCGGTTAAAACAGCTCACCATGGGAGCGGCATTGTTTTAGTACTTTCTCTTGAGTAGCAACCCCCTCCAATTCCTTTAGCTGCTCAGGCAGCCACTGCCAGATCTGTGTGTGTTGTCAGCAGTCCGAGCCCATGCGCGAGCTGTGTGTGTGTGTCTGAGCCCGTGCGCGAGTTGTGTGTGTGTCTGCGCCTGTGTGCAAGCTGTATGTGTGTGTGTGTGTGTGTCCGAGCCCGTGTGCAAGCTGTGTGTGTGTGTGTGAGCCCGTGTGCGAGCTGTGTGTGTGTCCGAGCCTGTGTGCGAGCTGTGTGTGTGTGTCCATGCCCATGTGTGAGCTGTGTGTGTGTGATCTCTCCTCTCGGACCTGTGTGCCTTGTTCGGTAGCTCGTCTTGGTCCTTGTGTCCCTGGCGCACCCAGACTGTTGCCCAAAGGCTGGGCCGTCCCACGCTGAGGGCACATCAGGGTGATTTGTATGCACATCTTCGTAGGCTCCATGTGGAGAGTGGACGGGCGTGTGCAGCCTCTGGACACCATGCCACAGGCTGTGTGCCCCTCTTGCCCCCGACTTGGAGGGAGGTTGGGCATCTTCTTGTTTAAAAGCATGGTACTTTCGCCCTGGCCAGTTTGGCTCAGCAGTTGGAACATCGGCCTGTGGACCTGAGAGTCCTGGGTTCAGTTCCTGCTAGGGGCACGTACCAAAAAAAAAAGGTATTAATGTAAAAAAGTAATTAAAAATAAATAAAAGCATGGTACTTTCTGTGAATTGTTGGTTCATATTCTTTGCCCGTGTGTCTTTTGGGATGTTCTTTTTTATATAAATACTACCTTTTGTATAACAAGAACGTTAGCCCTTAGTTGAGAGTGGTAAATGTTTTTCTGGTTTGTCAGCAGGCAGAGAGTAGGGATGTATGTTGGTAGTTTTTATTCCTACTTTTTTTTTTTTTTTTAATCCTCACCTGAGGATATTTTTTCCGTTTATATTCAGATAGAGTGGGAGAGAGGGAGAGAAACATCGATGTGAGAGAGACACATTGACTGGTTGGTTGACTAGGGCCAGAGACCAAACCACAACCAGGGTACATGCCCCAGAATCGAACCCATGACTCTTTGGTCTGTGGCTGACTCTCTAATCACTGAGCCAAACTGGCCAGGGCCATTCCTATGTTTTTATCCCATCGAGAGTTTAGGTCAGTCCTCGGCCTGCCTGCTCCAAGTTGGTGGAGGTTTTTAGTTCCACTTCTCCCTCCCCGTGTCCGTGTCTGCGGAGCACGAGTTTCAGGGCAGGATGGGCCTCTCCAGAGGCTGAGCCACTGTCCCTGCACAGCCTCAACACGCTCTTCCTCTCCTGCTCGGGTTCTGTGCATCGGGCCATCTCTGGACCCTCTGTTCTGTCTCTGCATCCCTTCTTCACACCCGTGTAGCTTCACAGCCGGGTGATGCTGCCTCTATTTTCCTTTTTCAAAACGATGTTTGTGCTTGTCTGTTTTTACTTGTAAAAAACGCCATATGCAATAAGCGGTGGTGTTTCTTGGCTCTAGGCTAACGTGGAGTCGCCTTGCTGCCATTCTGGGCCACCCTGGCCAGGGCAGGGACGTCTGTAAGTCTGTCCTGTTCCCGATGAACCGACGCCTGCCCGTGGCCCTCTGTGGCTGCTGTCGCAGTGGGATCGTCTCTCCGTGTGCGTTCCAGCTGCACGTGTGTGCGGGCCGTGGTTTCCGCGTTGCCTGTGCAAAGGCTCCACGTGTCATGCTATTGGTGGTGGTCGTTCTTTGGTGCTGCTGGGTTTCTGGCTGGGCAGGCACACCCCTGCACAGAGCTCTTCACCCTCCTCCCGAAGCTCGTGCCGCCTGTCCCTGCGCGCCAGCCCTGGCGGCCCCTCACTGGGCAGCAGGGGTGGCAGATGGCGGTAGCCCATGTGCGGTCACATTAGAGGGGCTGGTGATATGGGACAGGTGCCTAGGGACCTCTCTGCTCCGGATTCCACCTGCGAGCGGGACGTAGCCGCCCCCTTTCCCGTTGTAGTGAGGACACGGGCGCTCGCGTGTGGGAGGCAGAGCAGCGAGCTGGCACTGGTGAGGTTCAGTCGTGCTCGCTGACGCTGTTGGGTGACGCCGCTGTTGACTCAGCACACACATTTCATCACGTGAAGGAATGGTCTCCGGAGAGGGATTTCCCCAAGTGGCCGTACCGACGAGTCAGGAGCAAGCTGGGGGTTACTGTCTGTAGCAACAAGCCCTTGCGACCAATATCCCATGTGACACCTCTCCTGTCCTTTCCCTTGCCCTCGGACAGGCGGGCTGGACGACACCCTGCACACCATCATCGACTACGCCTGTGAACAGAACATTCCCTTTGTGTTCGCGCTCAACCGCAAAGCCCTGGGGCGCAGCTTGAACAAAGCCGTGCCTGTCAGCGTGGTGGGGATCTTCAGCTACGACGGGGCGCAGGTGCGTAGGGAGCGGCCCCAGCCTGGGGGCGCTGCCCTGGGCGGGAGGCAGGAGAGGCCATGTGGTCTGCAGACGGCCCAGCGGGGCCTCAGCCTCAGCGGCCTTTGCTTTCCCAGCAGCGCGGAAGAGAGGGCGATTCTGAATTAGCTCTGGCTTACTGATGCCACCAGGTGCCTCGGGACCCTGTCCTCTTAGGGCTGCACTCTAGACAGGTGTCACCTGCGGAGGGCGCCACTGTGGTTGGCAGGGGACATCACCCGTGCCCTCGCTTCTGTTCAAGGACCAGTTCCACAGGATGGTTGAGCTGACAGTGGCGGCGCGGGAGGCGTACAAGACCATGCTGGAGAGCGTGCGTCAGGAGCTGGCAGGAGAGCCCGGCCCCCCGCCCCCTGCTGGCCTGCCTGCGCCGGGCCCGGGCTGCTCTGCAGAGGACGGCCCCCAGGCTGCCCCGAAGACGGAAGAGCCACACTACAGTGAGTGCGGGGGTCTAGTCTGGGCGAAGTGTCCTTCAAGTCCCCATGAACTTGGGTTAAAAAGTCCAAGTGCCTGGGGGAGCGGCACAGCCAGTCCTGGCTGTTGTCTGAGAAGCTCTCAGACCTGGGGATTTGCAGGGACTTGTCAGTGAGTGTTTCAAACACACCTCTGGTCAGACAGCCCCAGGCAGAGGGTAGCTGTAAGAACAGCTGTGTCCTTGGTGGGTGATTGACAAGGTCAGCAAGCGCCCAGATGTGATTGGTGCTGGTGGGGGGTGTTGTCCAGGGGACAGTGCGCTCTCCAGAAGAGCGGCCCTGCCTGTGCGTCAGCTGTGCCGCTCTCGTTCCAGTTGAGATCTGGAGAAAGCACCTGGAGGCGTACAGTCAGTGTGCCCTGGAGCTGGAAGAATCGCTGGAGGCGTCTACCTCGCAGATGATGAACTTGAACTTATAAGAAGCGTCTTTTGTGTATTTGTGTATTTAGGGTAAGGAGGGGTGGAGGTTCGAACAACTTCGTGGCCCACCCTTTAGTTCTTCATTAACCTGATGTATTGAGGATACTGTTTAATTGGGGTGTTGGCAGCGTGGAGGGCCTGGGAGGCAGCCTCTGGGGCATGCTAACGGAGACCTTTCTAGAAGCCCTCTGAGCATACTGTGAATCTGGAAGACACTGGAAGAGGAACTTGAGTCCTCTGCTGCTGAGGACACATCCTGTGCGTTTCAGAGGAGCCGAGCAGGTTAGCGAGGCTGTGCCAGCAGGAGCAGTGTGGCAGGCAGCCCTCAGTCCTGGTGACCCGGCCCTGGGCTGCCCGGGCCGTGCTCCTCCCGCGGGGACCTGCAGGGCTTGCTGAAATGAGCCTCCAGAAAAATCGATTTTCTAACCTGTGACCTTTGACATGAATTACTTCTTTTAGTCTTTATTTTTCAAAGAAACAATGTATATTGAAATTCCTAAATTTCTGTTTTGATAATCTACAAATCTTTGTTTTGTAAATGAACATATTCTGAGTGGGATTTCTGTCTCTGAGGCCAGGAGGCAAAAAGTTTACTTTCCTATTTTCCTGTAAGTAAGAGGGCTTATTTATTTTAATAAAGAGTGGTTATTTAATTTCCCTGGAGACTGGTTATCTAGTCACTTGGGTTATCCTTGTTCTCTGTCTGACTAGTCCTGCCTTTGTCTTCACGTGTGCTCTTCAGCCGTGGAATGGAAGGGGTGGGAGGCTGAGCAGGGAGAGGTTTGCCATGCCCAGACCTGGGGCTGGGAGGAGCACCTGCGAGGCCGCAGGCCCCCAGAGACCTTCCTCAGCTGACCCCACCTCCGCCCTGCTCACACTGGTCTAGGAGGGATTGGCGAGACTGGAGTCACTGGTTTGTGCTTGTCAGGCAGACGCTGTGTGGTGTTGGCTTCAAAAATACCGTCCGTTGAATTCAGTCCTGCCAAATACTCTCTCTCCGAGAGGTAAGTGGCCTGTGACGAGCACATAAAAGGAGTACCAAGTCAGCAGTGGCTCACTCTGGGGACAGGGCTGACGGAGCGCCCACGGTGGTGTGTGTGACGCACCTGCCTCTCCTGTCGTCTGTGACACTTGTTCCCAGTGTGTACCTTGCCTCTCTGAACACATTCTGAGCTGCTCAAATGGGGACACAGGATCTGGCTGGCCAGCTGCCAATTCCCAAGCCCCGAATCTGTTCCCGAGTCTCTCTGGGCTGCCAGAAGGAGCAGCATCAGGAACGTCTTTCTGCTCTCCCCAGGTCAACAGGTCAAGTCAACTGTAGTGCTTGAAAATAGGAGATCATTTGAGAATAAAGGTTCTAAAATTAATTTGGGAGAAAATGAAGTAGCTTTCGGCTACACTAAGCAGTCTAGAATTGTAAAACTGGTCAATCACACCTCATTAGGGGAGTGGATTTCTGGTCAAGATGGCAGAGTAGGTACTCAGATCGCCACCTCAAAATTACCACCAAATTACAGACTGTCATCACTGACAACCATCTAGAGACTAGCGGAACAGAAGTCCCGTAACTACGGATACAGAGAAGCCACGCCGAGACTGATAGAAGGCATGGAGATGTGGACTGGGAAGGTTCCCACACACTGGTTATTAAGAAACAGGAGCAAGGTCTGTACTGCAGAGGACCCCCTTGAGGAGCAGGGGGTCCCCATTCCGACACCAGGCACCCCAGCCCAGAGCACCAGAGCCAGGAAAAGTCCCCATAACTTCTGCCTGTGAAAACCAGCAGGGATTCTGGCCAACAGAACGCTGCTCAAGAAGGAGGTGCTTCCTCTTCAAGTGCATATGCACAACTCACTCATAAACTCTCCCTCAAAACAGCCGTGCAGGGGCAGCAGCTTGGAAAGTGCTGGGGACATGGGGAGGAACCGGCTTGTACTTCAGGGCAATGGCTGGAGGGCTGAGGGCACTGGCCACCTCTCTGATGAGAGAAGTGCTGGCGGGCACCACTGTTCCTTGTTGAACTCCCCCACCCAGCTGGCCTGGCGCAGGCGGGCACCAAATTTGTGCTGTCCACTAACCTGGCTGTTTACCCCACACTAGTGATTCCCTGAGACCTCGTTCTACCTGCTCACCTGGCCCAAGCCTCTTCCAGTGGCTGAGGACTTTCCCCCAAATCTGCAAACCTCACGCAATGCTCTGGTCTTGGGCTGCAGATTTTTTCAGATCTCTACAAATCCCTTACAAGTAGCAGTTGCCCTGCCTTGAATTGTGCTAGACTCTCAAACGCCACCAACCCTATACATGCAGCAGCCGGCCTCAGCATGCACTGTGGCTCCTGACTAGTGGCCCCAAGCCCAGCACAGTGGTGACCAGCTTCAACTTGCACTGTTAACTCCCGATTTGGCCCCAAGCCTGGCAAGAGTGATGGCCAGTCTTAGCCTATTAACATATCTCCAACTAAGCAGCCATAAGCCTGGCCCAAGCGGCACCTGGCCTTGGTTCTTAGCATAGCCTCTCTCAAGCACCTCCAAGCCCAGCACAAGTGGAAATAAAACACAGACCACTTTGTTGCTTATACCAAGTAACCCCAAGTCTGGCATTAGTGGTGGCTGACTTTGCCCTGCACTGGAGCCCTTCCCAAGGGGCTCCAGACTGTACCAGAGCCCCTCCAAGCAGTTCCACAACCAACACACCTGAAAGGCAGCCTTGGCTGGCATCAGAAGCCCCAATAAAGTGACTCCTACTCCACAGGGACAGCCCCGGCACAACAGCTGGTCCGCTGTAGTCAGCCCTCACAGCCAATCAGCCTGAGAGTCAACCCTACCCACTGATGTTCCAGCAGCAGTCAAGGCCCAACCACACAGGAAGCCCAACACAACCTACACAGGGGACACCCCTGGAGCACCCAGCTAAGGTGACCAGGAAGCCTGCCACTGAGCACTATAGGACAGACACCCACATAAGGCCACTCTGTCAAGACTGGGAGATGTAGCAGATATATCTAATATATAGAAACAAACACAGGAAGTCAGCCAACAAACATCCCAAATGAAAGTAACAACAAAAAAAGGACAAAACTAAATGAAATGGAAATAAGCAATCAACCAGATAGAGTTCAAAACACTGGTTAAAAGAAAGCTCCTTGAACCCGGCCAGTGTGGCTCAGTGGAATGAGTGTTGTAGACTAAGAGGTCCTGGTTCAATTCCTGATCAGGTCACATGCCCTGGTTGTGGCTTGATCCCCAGTTGGGGGTGTGCAGGAGGCAGTTGATTGATGTTTCTCACATTGATGTTTATATCTCCCCCTTCCTCTCTAAATAATTAATAAAAACATTTTTTAAAAAAGAGAAAGCTCCTTGAACTATGGGAGAATAGATTAACTCAGTGAGAACTTCAATAAAGAGATAGAAAACAAAGTGAGACAGAAAATGTAAAATATAACTAATCAGAACTGAACAATATAATAACTGAAGTGAAGAATATGCTAGGTGAAGCAGAGGATCGATCTGAAAGACAAAGTAGCAGAAAACACCCAATTGGACAGCAAAAAGAAAAATAATTTTAAAAAATAGGATTGTTTAAGGGAACTCTGGGACATCAGGTGTACCAACACTCACATAATAGGGGTCTCAGAAGGAGAAAAGGGAAGGATTTAAAACCAAATCAAGAAATAATAACTGAAAACTTACCTCACTTGGTGAAGAACATGGACATACAAGTCTGGGAAGTACAGAGTCCCAAACAAGATGAACTCAAACAGGCCCACACTAAGACACATCTTGATTAAAATGCCAAAAGTTAAAGACAGAATCTTTTTTTTTTTTTTTTTTCTTTATTGATTTTAGGGAGGGAGGGAGAGAGAGATAGAAACATCAATGAGAGAGAACATCAATTGGTCGCCTCCTGCATGCCCCCCACTGGGGATTGTGCCCACAACCTGGGCATATGCCCTGACCGGGAATTGAACCAGTGACCTCTTGGTGCATGGGTCAACATTCAACCACTGAGCCACACCAGCCAGGCTAAAAACAGAATCTTAAAAGCAGCAAGAGAAAAACAGCTATTTACCTACAAGGGAGCTTCCACAAGACCATCAGCTGATTTTCCAGCATAAACATCGAAGGCCAGAAGGGAATGACATGAAATATTCAAAGTGATGAAAGGGAAAATTTACCACCAAGATTGCTCTACCCAATAAGGCTATATTTTAGAATTTAAGGAGAGGTCAAGAGTTGCCCAGGCAAGAAAGAAACTAAAGGAGTCTATGACCACTAAACCAGCATTACAAGAAATGTTAAAGGGATTTTAAGTAGAAAAGTAAATATTAAAAAGATAAATAAGGCCCTGGACGGTTTGGCTCAGTGGTTAGAGCATTGGCCTGCGGTTCCCGCTAAGGGTATGTACCTCGGTTGCGGTTTGTCCCCGGCCCTGGTTGGTCATGTGGGTGGCAGCCACTCAATGTGTCCCTTTCACATTGATGTTTCTCTCTCTCCTCCCGCTCTGTCTGAACAAAAAGTGTAAAAATGTCCTCGGGTGAGGATAAAAAAAAGAGGAATAAGAAAATATAGGAAAGAAAAAATTTTCACCAACAAAGGCAAGTGGTAAAAGCAGTGGCTCAATCAATCATTAACCTAGTAGAAAGGTTAAAGACAAAAGTAGGAAGATCATGTGTATTTACAATAGATCAAGGGATACATATGAGAGAGATAAAAAAAATAAAAATAAAAATACAAAAACATACATGTGGGTTGGTAAGTAAAACTAGTGATTTGCCCTGGCTCATTTGGCTCAGTGGTTAGAGTGTTGGCCCACAGACCAATGAGTTGTGGGTTCAATACTGGTTCAGGGCATGTACCTCAGTTGCAGTTTGTCCCTGGCCCTGGTTGGGGTCATGTAAGAGGCAACCAGTCAATGTGTTTCTCTCACATCGATGTTTCTCTCTCTCCCTCCTCCCACTCTATCTGAAGATAAATAGAAAAATATCCTCGGGTGAGGATTTTCAAAAACTAACGATTTAAGAATGTGTTCAATCTTAAGAGAAAATCAACTTAAATATACTGCTATAAATATAATTTGGTATATATGCAATACATGGTAACCACAAACCAAAAATCAAGTAATAAAATAAAGGAAACCAAACATAACACTATAGAAAGTCATCATCATAACAAGAGAAAAGAACAAGAGAATATAAAAGGAACAGAAAAGAAAAACAAGGTGGATTAATGGATTAAAAAAAACAAATACAAAAAACCTGAGCACATGCTGCCTAGAAGAGACCCACTACAGATAGAAAGACACACACAAAGTGAAAATAGGGGATGACATAAGATATTTCATGCAAATGGGAACAAAAAGCTGGAGTACCAATATTTATATCACACAAAATAGACTAAAACAAAGGCTATAGTAATCAAAAGAGCGTGGTATTGGCATAAAAACAGACACATAGATTATGGGAATAGAATAAGGATGCAGTAATAAACCCATGCCTATATGGTCAGTTAATCTATAACAAAGGAAGCAAGAATATAAAATAGTCTTTTAAAAAATGGTGCTGGGAAAACTGGACAGATAAATGCAAAAAAGTAAAATTAGATCACTTTCTTACACTATATAAAATATAAACTCAG